TATGCGTACACCGATCTGTCAGAGGACCCACTCGTCCGTCCATGTTGCCATTTGAGCTCTCTCTCGAGCCTCCACCGGATATAACTAGCCGATGACGCCTTATAAGACAGAAAAGGCCTTCCTAGTGTCCCATGTCTTTGCTGGTAATGCCCTTTTGCCTATAATATAATGTATATACTGTACTATATAGCATACGAAAACTATAACAGCGTGTGCAGCTTGGAGTATATATATATAAATTATACCAATACAATCTTAAAATTGCGTATGCGTTGAAATGCCTAAATTTTGATCAGATGGAACAAACAGACATCCTATTTTTCCTTCATAGTTTCCCTTATTTCTGTAATGTTTTTGTATTTTCTGGCAAAATGCTGAATTGAAGAAGGAGTTTTTCTGCTTCTTGTGATACCGGCGAGCATTTAGTTTGTTGTTTGTCCAATTTCCAACTGCTGCTTTTTCAAGTGTGAAAAGCAGGCACTTTATAAAGTCCTGAATAATTTCGCGTTTATGTTCTTAATACATCGTTTTAAAAGTTTCCACAGTTTCATTGATATTTGACCGCCTATCAAATGAGAAATCCAAAATAAGCGTTAGCATGTTTTGCGATAGCGCTGTGTAACGACACTAGTAGGTGTTGCACTAAAGTGGCGCAGATTTGAAGCTGTAGTCAGTATCCTTAGATAGTTGTGTTAAAGCCATTCTGCATTGAGCTAACCGTCCATGCCATTCTGCATTTTTGCTATGTGCAAAGTGAAGTGTAGTTAACGAAGAACGTCAATTTCACGCAGCAGTTTGTGCATAGACCCTATCTTTGAACTACTCCCGCCGTAAACTAATACTTTTTTTTATTCCAGACATCTTATCGTGACTGACATCGTTGCCTGAATCCAAATTTTTGTTTAGGATCTCAATGTAATTATATGTAGGTTTTGTGACTAGATAATCCTTTGCCAAAACCACGCCGATTGTAGGTTATATCATTAAAGTTTTCAATAAATGAAAAATATCCTTCGGGGAAGGCTCTGGCTATAGTTCATCAAGAAACCTAACGCTGAGAGGTTTACAGGCTACAGACACTTGCGAAAGCCTTCTCAACGGGGTACCATGGGGATGAAAGGGCATATAAAGAGAATTTGACGTGTTTAACGAAATGAACAAGTCGACACAAATTTGTACATGAAATTCAAATTTTGCGTGGACAGCATTGCTTGCCTAACAGTTTTTTTCGTGAAAAGATGGAGCGTGGTTATGTCGGCATGTTTTCTATTTACTCACCCAACTCCCTCAAGTGAGCTGACGGTTAGAAAAAAGGGCGTACTTGGTATCAACCCGGAAGACTTGGTAATAGTAAATTAGGTTTATTAATTGAACCAATTATCTGGCTGGAGTTTTAAACTTATGTTGCCCCTGGTGTCTGCTAGGAGAGATAGCAAGGCTGGAAAAAAATTGTATTGAAATGAGAGTCCAAGAATTGTATGACTTTATTAGCGTAGGACTACTAGCGACAGTTTAATAGCGTGCTAAAGTGGTGAATGCGTTTCGTTAATTGAGTGTCAAAACGACTGCATAGGATGCTGTGAGTTCTTTCCCTGTTTGATTAAAGGAACTGCCAGGCTAAAGCTCCCTACTAGTTCGTGTTTTAACATATTGTGTTAAGATCCTCCATATTCACTCGCAGTTGTAAGTGGACATATGTGTTGCTTAATCATCGTAAAGCACGGAAGTAAAACACCCCGCAAATAGTACCTCTGATATGTAGGCTTCATGACTGGCAGAATTTTTAAAGTTATCAGTCGCTTTGTAGCAAGCTATGTATTCTTTCAAAGTTTGGCTGCGAAGATTTCGATATAAAATGCTTTTAATTATAACATTATCTCTCAAACATCAACACTTTATATCTATCCGTTTATTAATTCTACTAATAAAGTATACAAAATCGTCCATATCCATCACGAAAATGGCAATGGAGAATATATTATTTCTTTTTTATAGAAATTTTAGCTTCTAATTTGAAAACTTTAAATGTTGATGCTAGGATGAGCCAGCTACGAAAGTATGAGAAGATTGAAACATTTGTCAAACCTAAAAGATATCGTACCTTTTATTAAAAACATTTAGAATTCGTATAAACTGGAAAACACGCATCCCAAGAACTTTTAATTTGAAGATGTTTTTTGGGATATAAAGGTTACTTTAATTAGTGAATCTTTGAGTCTGGTGCCCCAGCTCGTTTTCAGACTAACAGGAAATGTGCAATGAATAACTAAAATTTCAAACGTGTGGAAAATAATCAAAAGTTATACGGGGTGAGGCCTAATTGGTAGGTGTGGCCTGAGTCAGTCTGTGCCGCGCGGCTTTCGTCTCTTTCACCGTTCTTTGAAGTGCTTATACATACCATTTAATTCTATGTAACGGTAGAAGAGACGAAGGCCGCACGGTACAGGCTGACTGAGGCCACACCTACCAATCAGGTCTCATCCCATTTAACTATTGATTTTTTCCACACGTTTGAAATTATAGTTGTTCATCGCACATTTCCTGTTAGTCCGAAGATGATCTGGGGCGCCAGACTTGAAAATTCACTAATTTAAGTTACCTTTATATCCCAAAGTATATCTTCTTCAAACATTCAGAATTTTTTAGGTTGATTAGTTAATGAAAGGCTATTTTGTAATGTCTTATGACGTACGCTTAATTTAAAGGATTAATAAAATTAATAGGTAAATCATACTCTATATAAATAGTCACTTTAGCGAAAGTGGTTTTTGCCGGAGGCCGTAAGGGCAAGTTTTAAGGGGCAGGCGTTTTGAAGTGATTGAAATATTTTTGGTCTATGTTATTTTATGCTTACTCTAAGAGCCCTACCGCCTTAATCCCTCTGTAAACGACTTCACACATGAGAATTCTATCCAAAATTTCATGTGGTAGTTTATTGACTATCAGTTCTGATTCGTTTATGTAAAATAGGCTATTTAATTCCTTTAGATAACATTCAAACCCTATCTTTTCGAATGTGCGCTGGAAAGCAGTATAAATGTCGAAAAAAGTTCTATTGTACTGGCAAATGGTGTCGCGACATGCACTCTGCAGAAGACCTCACCGGGCCTTTGGAGTAGACTGGAGACGGAGTTGAAAAGTGCGTTCATTCTGAGCGTTAAACATTTATTTCACAGACGATAAAGCCGCGATGACTAAAATCCGCCAAGATGCCATTCAAGAGGCACAGGAGAGGGAGGTGCAACGTGTCAAACAGAACAAGACAGAAAAACGAACGGGTGAGAAGGAGTCTCTGGGTGCGATGATGAAGGTATCCGAGCACATTCACCTTTATGCTGACATCACGTAGATCGAGGGGCAGGAGCTGAAACGATTTGAGGCCATAAAAAAGGAGAGCACAGAGTTGGCGATGCAAGAATTAGTGGCCATCCAAGAGGAGAAGAAGAAAGCTGAGGAGGAGGTTGGTTTAACGGATAAATTCAGAAAAAAACTTATTTCCTTGACAGAAACGCCGTCAGATGGACGATGCGGTGAAATTTGCCAAGGAGCTCTATGGGAAAAACCCCCAGAAAATATATCAGCCTAAACTTGCAGAAGAAATATTTAAGGCCAAAGAGAGTCTGCCCGTTCGAGAGTCTAACACAATAAACATCTCCTTCACGCCTCGAGTGTTTCCTACACCTCAACGTGAATCAATGGTTGCGGAGGAAGAAACGGTAAATGAACTGATACTTTTTCCTTTTCTGGCTTTAATCCTCGACAACTTTAACTTTGTATTTGGTTTGGGTTCTTTGTGAAAAAGTATAATATTAATATTAAGCATGCTTTGCAATCAGGATACTCTGGTCAATTTTAGCTCGATGATTCTTGAGTAATAGCAAATTTGTGGAGAACGCTGAAAAATTAATCTTGCTAAAAGCCCAATGTCGGGACACCCAAAATTGCTTCGAGTGTTTGTATAGTGCCCGAACAATAGGAAAAGTCATCTTTTGTCGAGACGGCACTGGAGAAAATTTCCATTTATGACGAAGACATGTGTGTGGTCTGTGTGATAGGCTTGACCGACCTCGCAGGCATTAAAGGGAGACGTAGGTCTGGGATTTGCGTCCCGGCAACGGGCCATGCGAGAGTCATATTAAGGCACGACACACGTTATTTAAGCCGGGCACCACACATGGCATATGCGGTGGTACGCCTAGGCGTAGACTCACGCCGCTCCACGCTGCGCTCATTCCAAGCATCAGATGGCTGACCGATTCGGACAATTAACTGGTGCCTGAGCGAGAGAGGGAGGTCGACTCTATGGACTGCTTCCCCGCGCCATTTAGCGCATAATACTCGTGATAAACAGACTGACACGCTTTTAAGTTACCGCATTTCGTGAAAAACCATGACTTGGAAAGTTTTCAAGTGGTGAGGTAGCTTGAGTGAGCTTTGGGGCGTTCCTAATCAGTCGCGACCAGAGTTGCTCCTTTGCTGTTGCTGTGAAATCCTGGCCAGCACAGGCAGACTGCTTGGCTTTATCAACCACTGCGCATGATCCTGCCTCCGGTCTTCTTGACTCTGTCTTGATACTGGGTTAAGGTGGGGTCGGAAGGGGAGGGTGTGGTAGATGCTGCGCAAGTCTACTGTCACTTTAAATTAATTTGCGCGCAATTCAACGTCCCTGTAGCACCCTGCTGTGGAGCACACAGTGAACATAGTCAGTGACGGAGGTCGAACTGTTTGTTTGTTATTTAATAAGGGATATCAGGCCGTCTTCCTCTTATGTAATAAGTGATGTTTCATCGTTTCCAGTGGCTGGCAAATCAAGCAGAGCATCGACGGTATCTGAAGGAAAAGGTGTGCGATGGCGGTGACTTATCAGAGGCGGAAAAGGATCCCATGTGGTTACAAAAGAAGGCAAAGTAAGTTAGGCGCACTTTAAAGCAACTTCTGTTAGTACGGTTGAACTTGAGTATACTAGACTATTTAATGTTATATTAAGTAATCACCTACAGCATATCCTTTTAGTTCATCTTGGTATACTTTCCTGCTTCGCTCAGTGACATTCATCAGAGACATCACATTAGGTTTATCATGCTGACGTGTTAATTAACCACGTGCAGTCCTCGGTTAAGTACTGTATCTCTCGGCCGTTTGCGAACTTACATGCGAGTCTATCCTCAGGCGTGAATGAAAACTTACAGCTGTAAGAAATGTGCTGTGCGAACAGGATCTCAATTGGCAGGTATATCGATGTATCACGCGCTTAGTAAACACCAACAGAACAGATAAGTTGCTTTACTAAAGGCCGTTTCTCGTGAAGATGAGTCCGAATTTTAATAAAGCCATTATTCTCACCTATCCTTGGCGATGGACCAGAGTTACAACTGGAAACATTGACGAAATGTAACGCTTAATCCAGCTATCGCCCTCTGACCTGTTATCTTGTCAGTTGTGATCGAGTATCCCAGCTACCAAATCCCAGGTAATCCAAACCTGGGTTTAGATATGGTTGGCTGAACCATAAGCCAGAAGTCGCCACCCCGGTCTCATGTTTTGCTTCGCTATCCCTTTAGCATACGTACGTATTTAGGCACAAATCAAATCTACTATTTTTGATGAACTTGCTTCGTCCACTAGGTCACCTACCACTGTCAGGTTTTTTTGTCGTGAATTAAAGTAAGCCCACAGACCAAACAAAACAACGCAACTATTTATGCACGTTTAAATTTGTACACCATGTAGCCGGGATCGGAGGAATGTTGGTCTCGGTACGCGCTAGAAGGCGAAGATTTTTAACGTCTGAGGCCATACCTATCTTGAAGATGTGCCTTGTTTGAAAAAGAGCGGCGGCGTCGTTGTTATGTGCACAGGATCTGCAAAAACGAAAAGAAACCTTCCTAGTGGCTTTGGGTTAATTTTCCGATTTTGTTTTTTTAGCATGCTATTCAAGGCTGGAGACTTTGAAGCCGCTGCCTTCGCATACTCGGAGGCAATAAAACATGCGCCAAAACTTCCCTCGTATCCTTTTTTGTTTACACAAGACTGTTTCTGTCTGCAGCTAATAGTTTCAGCAATTCAGGTGCGTGCTTTTCTCAGTCCTTCCGGCAAAAAGTCACTTCCTTTAACCCTGCAAATATTCCTTTTCGGATGGGCAGTCAACCAGACTGAGCTCTATGCGGAAATTCATGACTGAAAATTTTAGGCATGCTTACATTTTTGAAAAAAATCAGTACCTATATGGTATGCAGTTTTCGTCATTTACAAAGTCTGTATAAAGCCAGGTAGTTTTCTTTGCAGGAAATGACTGGAAGTTTATTGAGGGAAACGAGGAGGCGAGTTCCATGAAGTAGTCCAAAAGAAGGAGAAAACGCAACTACTGGAGCATGACGTTTATTAGCCTGACGTTTCGGATTCTCTTTTGAATCCATCGTCAGAGATAATCGTAGATGGGGGGTGACGAAGGACACAGGTGTCATGTCGCTACATGTTTAATCCCAATAGTAGATTCCACGTTCATCGTTGGGG